TTAGCAAAGTTGCTTGTGCTTTTTTAACTCCACAATAGTAGGGAGTGGTCTGCGCAATTTGTGAGGCTCCGCTTGTCCAAATGTGACTGAAATATGGTCCCCAAATGAGAAATTGACTTAATTTACAGATCTGCTGTGTGGTAGAGGACGAGAAAGTATCATCGGATTGGCTGGAGGAACAGATCACCGGATTTGAAGAACTGGTACAATCCGTCGATATAGTGGCCTTCAACAAAGTGTGATCAGTTGTCGTTATTGTTTCACATTGAGCATTTGTTATCGTTATTATGGATGATATTATTAAATAAATATGTTGATTTTTTTCTTGTTCATTTTATTCCAGGAGTTCCACATCTCCTCAGTTTGTTTTATCTAATGTTTCTTTTTTTAAATAACTGAGGCAGTGCCTGTTTATTTTTTGCTTTATATAATTCGTTCGCTCAGTTTTTCCTTCCAACTTACTTAGTATTTCTACTTTTTTCGCAAAATAGCCCATTTTCGTTTGATGTGTTAGGTTGTAGTTAGCCAGTGAATGGTAAATACGGTTGTGGATGAATAGATTGATGTATCAGGAATTTTGAGAGTTTTAGTCATATTTTTACCATATAAAGTATTAAAGCAAAGCAGATTTAGCCATATTTACCGTATTAGTTCAGTCACAGAAACTACAAATGAAAAATTTTGCGGTGAAAATTTTTTGACTTTGTGTCTCGTCGTCGTTCAGGAAACTTGTTTGGTAAATGTTTCCATTTTCGAGTTATTTGGGTATTTGATGTTCCAAGTTGCAGTGCGAAAATACGAATAGGCCGGCCGTTCATACCGGTAATTCTAAGCGGTATTGATCAAGGACTGTTTGAGTTTTCTGACAGTCTAGGCATTTCTGTTTGGCATGGATCCGACGACAGACGTCTACTTTGATTTGCTGAAACAGGCATGTGCACGTAAGTTTTTCAAACTTGTTTCAATGTTAGGAAGATATGTTATAAAATATAAGCAAAAAGAAAAACTATCAAATGGAAGGGATAGGGGATAATGGAGTGGAAATTAAAGTAATACTGCTCTGTTAGCAGACAATGAGGGGAGTTAAAATGGGTTAGGGAAGGGGGGAAGGAGGGAGAGTGGGGAGCGGGTAGATAAAATAGTATGGGAAAGGGGAGCCGGGAAGGCGAGATAAAATAGTACGGAAAAGGGGAGAGGGGGAAGGGAAGATAAAATAGTTTTGGTATATTAAATTGTATATATTCCTAAATAGTGTAAAACTGGGACTTTCCGGTTTATTAAATCGGGTGCATTGCAATTCAGCGCATTATATAGTATGCAAAAAAATCGTCAGTAAAATCAAAAGCTGTGTAGCCGGGTTCTAGGGTTGAGGGAACTTTTATCAATTTTAACTTTTATTAGTCAATTTTGAAGCCAAGGAAGGGCAAAATACAGGCGGTTTGATGATTTTAACATCAAAACTAGTTGACTTTTTTTTA